TTTTGCAATGGCAAAGCTCCACTAAGATGGCAGCAATACTGTCTTTATTTTTCAGTACCAACCTCAACCACATAGAAAGAGCTCAGTGGTGATGAGTAGAAAACCCCCTCCCTTTTGGGTTATTGTTCTATACTTACTTATTTGGTCCATTTATTATCTACATAACAACGAAAATCAGCACAAATAATTAAAAATACATACAAACACTTACTGCTAAGTGCTGCCTTTACTCAGTGGAAGCCCATCCCGTTTTGCTGCCTGAGGCAAAATCGGGAAAGTGACCCCTTGCCACCCCTGCTGAAGCCTTGCTTCCTGGGGTCACGCGGCAGTGGTGGCAGGTTCCAAGTTCTGGTGACATCTTGCACCAGTCTTGCAAGATCTTGCCGGAACCTGGAAGCCACTGCCATTTGTCCCCACTTCTTTGGAGTCAGTGGCTGCGCCCCTTGGATTCTGCTGCCCAAGGTAGCTGTCTTGAGTTTGCCTCACAGACTGCCCGGTCATTACTCCTAGTTTGGTCCTTTATCAAGCTAGTCCTAAAGAAGCGGGGGAGGGAACTGCCTGTCAGCACCATCTTAATTCATAAAATGTCAGACATGCACCAGGTGCCAGCTTCCCTGCAGGCCTCCAGTCTCCCTCCACCATTTGCTCAAACTATTCCCCCCACCCTCCCAAAAACCCCAGCAGGCTAAGCTCCTGGGCGGCTGGTTCCCTTCGCTCTTGCCTAGCGCCTTTCAGCAGAAGGCCTTTGCTTAGGACAGTCCAAAAAGGGGCAGGGAGCATAATGGAGGCGGGCGCCAAAGAGAAAACCCGTCCCTCGCCCCTTCCAAGAATGCCATTTGCCGACAGCAACAAAGGAAGCAAAAGGAAAACAGGTAAGATTAATGGTGGGGGCGGAGTGAGGAGCCCAAGAAGCCAGAGGTGCCAACTTGAATAAAATATTGGGGGGAGGCAAGCCCCGCCCCGCATAATTCCTCACTCTCCCCCTGTCCGCAGGCTTCCTCGAGGCTCAGCCCCCAGAAGGCTCGCTGGGTGCGGAGCGAGGGCACCCCGGGGTGCCGGGTCGGGGCAGAGGAAAGCCGCCAGGCATCTCGCGTCGCCATGGAGAGATCTCAAGCCGGAGTCCCTTGCAGCCTCCTCGTGAGGAGAGGGGCCCCGGAATACGACGCTCCTCTTCCAGGGCGTTGGGCCGGCAGCGTTGGGCGCCGAAGGAGGTGTCTGGGTGCGCGGAGGAGGGGCGGGCGCGAGAGAAGTCCGGGCAGCCGGGAGAAGGAAGAGGGGGCGGCAGGAGGGAGGACAAGCCGACGCACGCGCACTCTTCTTCCTCTTCTTCTTGCAAGCCCCTGTTGCCATAGTGACGAGGTCTTCCCGGGGAGTCGGCCGCCTGGAGGGGCGCGCAGGCTGAGCGCTGCCCGCTGGAGCCCCGGAGCAGGAGGCGACCCGGAAAGGAGGGGGCGAAACGCCGCTTCCCTCCTCCCCCCCCCCAAGAATTGACCCAAACAGGCGCCTCTTCGCCATCGCCGCGGCTTTTTCTCCCCGCCAGCGCACAGCGTTGTGATCTTGGCTGTTCTATAATAAATGTGCCATTTCCGAAGGGCGACTTGTTTTATCTGCTTATGAACATGAAATAATATCGGGGTTCGGGCAAGGGAAGCTGATGTGAGAACTCGCACCTCGGCGCTGGCGGGGGGGGGTCATGACATGCATACAGTACATATAACCAGCTACTGCGCCTCGACGGGGCAGAAATTCCGCAGAAGCATTTCCTCTTCGTGCCAAGACGGGCTTTTCCTGCCGAATTTCTCCCCGTTCAGGTACAGGTTCCGTTAGAATGTGGCGCATTTTCCCATCCCACCCAAAAAGGGAATTCCGCAGCCAGATCAAAGGTTTAATCTCTCTCTCTTTTTTAAACAGACCAACACAGACCAGATCCGAAACGGTAACAGAAGAGCAGCTCTTTGTCCGTCTGGTTGGCAAGTCGGGGGCTGCAGCGCCCGCGGAGGGAGGGGGACAGAGAGAAGGCGCGCACCTCCCTCGGGCAAGCGGGCGGGGATGAGCATCTCTGAATGGATGCTCTGTGCCTGGAAAGGCGGGGGGGGGGACCCCTTTGTGTGGACGGCAGATTAGATCAAGCGCCACGTGCGCTGGGAGCCCCATATTTCCCCGATGGGATCATCCCGCAATCTGCCCCTCGTGACCATCCGCGGATACAGCTGCCTGGTGTCTCCATGCAGACAAATTGTGGGCATTTCCGGAGCCAAACGCCCCACCCCCGCTGAAAAAAGCTTTTGTTCCAGTTTCGGTCCTCGATTCTGTCTGCCTTCTTAATTGGGGCGAGGGGGGGGCATCCCATCCAGCAGAGTTGGCTCATCCCGGATGACAGTGGCTCCTCCTTTGCCCCCGAACAGTTAGCCCAGTCGCTGAAGAAGTAGCCAAGAAGCCTTTCTTCGTCCCCGCTACCCAATACACTGTCAATTCGCAGGTTGCGGCTAAGTATAGTAACCACAAATGTACATCCTGGGTTGATCGGCATGGCTTTTGGGGAACGTTTTTTGAAGAGCCCTGTGCAGTCAATCACCCTTTGCATTCACTCATTTCTGTGGTCATTGGGAAGAATTCAGTGCCTCACACTAACCTGGTGCTTATGGGAAGGAAGGGAAGATCAGTAGCTTCAGATTGTAGAAGCAGACAAAAAACGGAGTGATTCCTTCCTTTACTTTAGTGAAAAGGATTGGAGCTGATCTGCAATTACTGAAGGAGGGAGAGAGAGAGATTAGAGGAGAATGATTTGTTCCTCAAGGCCAAGGAAGTTAATCAGCTCCAGTTGCAACGTATGGGGGAGGGGCTGGGTCTTTCTCTGATGCATCGGCTGGAAGAAGAGATGGGGGGGAGGGGAAATGGCCTTTTCCCCCAGTCCCTGGAGGGCTGCCCTCTGCCCCAGCCTTGGCTGGATGGAGTTAGCTGCTCTGAGCTAGGGCAAGGATCACAGGACAATTAATGAGCTCTGCTGCTGGCTGCTAATCAGAAACAGATCAAGGCCTCACACCTGACCGCAGCCAGGGAGAGAGCAGAGTGGAGCTCAGCCAGCACAAAGCTGCAAAAAGGAGTGCGTACTCTTTCCTGGAGAGCATCCTGGAGCAGGAGGGAAGCAGTGGAAATCTGGCTCTGACTCAGGACAGTTGGCCAGGAAGGTTCTGTCTGTGACACATTGTCCTGCAAGTTGCTTCTGCTCATAGGGATCCTGTGACAGATCCCAGATGGCCCAAATGGTACCTCGTATTTAGCCATGTAACAATGAACAAAGTCTACAAAGAGAGACACAGAAAAGGCAAGCAGTGAAATAAGTTTTGTGAACAGTGTGAACTGCTCTATTGTCAAGAATATGTTTTGAGAGGAGCCTCTGTTGGAGAAATACCAGACAACAGCTTAACAAGCCAAAGTTTTCAAGCAGACTGAGGAAGAGCAGGAGGGAAGGGCTTAAAAAATTGTGAGGAGAGAATGGAAAATCTGAAGATCTGTCGGCATGCCTGCTTTAAGGTCAGGATGAGTGGGACTAAGGGAAGCAAAGTGACTTGCATTTATATTGACTATTGACTTTAATCCATTTTTATTTACTTTTGACCTTATCCATCCTGTTTTATTAATAGGGAAGAGAATGCACTCTTGTAATAAAAAGGTGAAAAACAAGAACAATCCCTGTTGTTACAGTGGTGCCTCGCAAGACGAAATTAATTCGTTCCGCGAGTTTTTTCATCTAGCGAATTTTTCGTCTTGCGAAGCACGAAATCCCATAGGAATGCATTGAAATTCAATTAATGCGTTCCTATGGTCAAAAAAGTCCAAACAAAGCCAAATTTGGTACAACAAGAGTTTATTAAGTGCTCTTTAAAGTCACACATACTGTAAAGAACATTTCAAAAATTGAAGGAACAATAAATTAAGTTTCTAAACATGACAGAAAAACATTTAAAAATCAACAAAGTGTACAGTACATTTTCTAAGACTCTGGGGGACAACTCGAAGAAGGTTCCTCTTCCACTCTTTGCTTCTTGCTGAAGAACCCCTCCTCAACTGTTCCCCCAGCCACCCACCACACAGAAATTCAAATCCAGAAATTTTTTTTAAAAACAGCAGAGTGGCCCAATGGTCACAGAAAATCATAAAAATTCAGAAAAAAACCACACAAGCTTCCAGATTCTTGCAAACCCCTCCTCAACTGTTCCCCCAGCCACCCACCACACAGAAATTCAAATCCAGAATTTTTTTTAAAAACAGCAGAGTGGCCCAATGGTCACAGAAAATCATAAAAATGCAGGAAAAAAACACACAAGCTTCCAGATTCTTGCAAACCCCTCCCCAACACCAAGTCCTTGAATTCCAAACACCCCAACCCAAAATCCAAAAACCCCCAAAAAAGTTTTAAAAGTTTAACTACCACACCGCGTTCTATGAGTTGCTCCTCGAAGTCAAGTTGCAACTGTATTAACGGTGTTAAGAAAATGAAAACAAACTTGCAAGACGTTTTCATTTTTCGTCTTGCGAAGCAAGCCCATAGGGAAATTCGTCTTGCGCAGCAGCTCAAAAAACGGAAAACCCTTTCGTCTAGCGAGTTTTCCGTCTTGCGAGGCATTCGTCTTGCGGGGCACCACTGTATTTGTCAAGGGAAGGCTCTGTTACAGAGCAGCTCTCTTGAGAATAATGGCCTTCTCACCCCCAGGAAATTCAAGGCAGGTAATGATGCTGGCCTCCCACATTCTAGGGAAAGGTATAGGCAGGACATCTGATCACTGACAACCTTCCTGGAAACCTTTCGGCTGAATCCTCTGTGTGTTTCCTGAGAAGTAACACACAGAATCAGATTTGTAGAGTTGGAAGGGATCCTAAGGTGATGTCATTTTAATATGTGAGGCAGAAAATCCAAATTACATCTCTCATGGGGGTTAAAATATAATAAACTGAACAATTGGCTACCTTTAGTTTACTGACACACAAAAGTCTGGTGCCCCAGCTAAGGCCATGTCATTCTGCAGAAGGCTGGTCCTGGTGCTCTTGAGAGAGATTCTTGAGAGAGGGTTATCTTGGATTATCTCTGGAGCACACTTTTCTTTCTCTTAGATTATTTATGGCTCTTCTAGCTGAAAAGAGAAACTAAATATGTGAACCCAAATTAAACTGATGGAATTTTACAAGCTTGTCAGATCTGCCCTCATTTAGCTGGCAAATGTTACTAGATTCTATAAATACATTAGATGAGTTAATAATAACAGCACGAATATCTACATAGTTTTTAAAAGAGCATTGTTTTTTTGATACAAGCTGTCCATTAATAAAATTACTAACACTAAAAGAGTTGCATTCTGGAATAATTTCTCTGGGTTAAAATACCGTATTTTTTGCACCATAACACTCACTTTTTTCCTCCTAGAAAGTAAGGGGGAATGTCTGTGCGTGTTATGGAGGGAATGCCTACGGGTGGCATGCCTACGGATTTTCCTCTTCTGAAAGCTACGTGCGTGTTATGGTCGGGTGCATGTTATAGAGCGAAAAATACGGTAGTTATGCAACCCAAGGACATCTTAATTTTCTTCCTCATGCCCTTGCTGTTCGACTTGCATTAGCACCTGGTTTGCTCTCCCTTGATCTATAAAAGTTCAGCCCTCGTGTGGCTGCATTCCAAGACGGCACAGATTCCTTGCAGTTCCTAACTGTGTGCCCTATTATGAGAGAGAGTCCAGGCCTGCGTGAGAGAAAATTAGTCTGGAGAGAAAAGTCCCACTTATGTTAAGTGGAACAAATGTTCAGATTTGCTTGCCTGTAACTTTTGCTCCTCATTGGGGCTCTGTGCAGTCCCACTAAGGAAACCCACATGTGAATACCTGTTTTAATTATGAAATTACATTTTCTGCATTTCTGATATGACACCATGGCCCATACTGGCCATTTCTACCAGGCCTCCACCCCACCCCACCCCATTTCCCGCCCCCTACTTTTGTTTAACTTAACATCCAGTCTGAAGAGTTTCCCAAAGCTTGCAGAATATTTTTTGGTTGGTACAAATAAATATATTTTTCTGTTGATTTTTTAAAAATCTATCATGTGACTGCAAATATATTTTTGAGTTGACCAATTTACTTTTAAACTTTTCTTCTTGCCTTTTTTATTGTGAAATCGTGGATTATTTCCCCAAAGTAAATTTGTTCTGCAAGTTCACACTTGATAGACAAGACAATGAAGTCGCTTAATAGCACCTGCAGTTTTTGATTAAACATTTTTCCGCTTATTCCACAGTCACTGGCACTGTGCAAAATAAAATAAAATAAGCCATATGCATGTTTCACTGAAAATTAGTTGCATTTTTTCTAAATATCATTCATATGATATAAAAACAGTACTGTGTTCCATATTTTTTCCCAAAATCATGAAAATAATAGTTCATACAATTTCCCAAAAGTAGACTTGACATTTTCCTGTTATCCTTTCAAGTACAGTATTTTTTTCAGATTTTTTTCCAGAAAGATCTGCAGGAGATTGAGAAGTAGACATTTAGAAGCTTCTTCTAGCTCCTCAACACTCATTTTGGGGATGTAAACTACCCCACAAGTCAATTTTTCCGGCTCTCCGAGACCCCATCAATTTGGCAGCAGGAGCCAAAAGCGGGGGGGACGGGGGACGGGGACACATTAAGATAAACACAGCCTTGTTGGGGTATGGAACTAAGTGCCATGATGGGGATATAAATCTCACCTGGTCATCGGTCTGACCATTTGAGGAGCTGAGTGGGGGCAATAATAACCCACCTCAGCTGGTGAGGAGGGAGCCTGGATGCTTCAGCCTGCCTGCCGGTGTTTGTCTATGCATAAGGGAGAGTGGGGCGGCCCCCACAGAGGATGGACCAAGGGTGAGTGCAGCCCTCAGTCAGCTGCCCCATCTCCAGTGACATAGGGTTGTGTCTGGTGAAGTCATGCACAGAAATGAATTGATGGACTTGGTCCAGTGATTTCAATGGGCCTGCTCTGAGTATGACTTAGTCAGTGACAAACAATATATTTTAGGACTTGGTGGAATGCAAAACAAATATTGTTATTTGAATCATTAACACTTGCGAGAGGCGTGAGCCCTAACTGTGTGTTCGGAGTACTCAAGCCATGTGCAGGCACTCACCGGAGGGAGTGCAGAGGTGAAGTGCAAGGTGGAAAGTGTGAAATGAGATTGTTTTAAAAATTATTTGCACAAACATGGTTCCCAAATCAAAACATGGTTGTGCTTTGACTGAATTTCACAAAAATAAATAAAAGGTAAAATATATATTGAATACAGAATAAAAGAGGTGAAGAAGCCGTAAAGAGATAGACAGAAGTCAATTAATGTACGATGGATATGGATAAGTTTAGATGAGATATAGAATATGAATGTAAATGAAGAAAAAATGAAGATGTATTTTTGTGGGTGTGTTTGAGTTTTATGTGTATTTGTAATTGTGTATTTGTAATTTTTTTTAATGCAATAAAAATTATTTTTAAAAAGAAATGAGGAACTTCCTCCCTGCATGATCTAGAACCCTCCAAATAAACCATGGTCTTGGATGAAACAAATTATGATCCACAGCAGATGATATAGCACTAAGCTAAGCTCTCCATTTCTCCAGTGGGCTTGGGGGGAGGGGAAGCAAAGTGGCCCAGCTCAGCGTTTTCATGGTAAACTAATCAACTACGGTTTACTGTGACATGCAAACTGGACCACTGTAATGCCACTGTGTTTTTCAAGTAGGTTTTTAGCTAAAAACAAACTTGCTCTTGAACTGTAAATCAGCGTGGGACAAACAAATACAGCAGGTGGAACACAACCTTGAGCAATGTGTGATGGTTCACTGGGAAGGAAGACCGGGTGGGGGTCCTTGGTACTGGAACCAAGGTGTCTTAGGAGTGTGCTCTTATCTTCACTTGCAAAAGGTTGGCTGGCTGCTGGAGTGGTCTAGTAATCCAGACAAATTACTGTCCTTGAATCTTAGTTTTAGGAGTTTTCAGCACTACAATTGGCTGGAAGAATATCATTTTAAAACAGTACCTTTATAAAGAATCAGATTTAAACTCATAAACACACACCAAACTCATTCCATACCACTAGGCTTTGGGATATTGCTGATCTGGCAGCTCTGCTGAAATACCTCAGGGAATGGTTTGAATCTCGGGACTCCTGTTACTACAGACAGGAGAAAAATTGCTTTGGGGGCTACTTCCAAAACTTTTTTAAAAAGAATATTATGTTTATATGACTGCTTGAGTGTAAGAGAGAGACCCAGAGAGGACTTGATGTGTTTTTGCCAAAGCACATTGGCTGCTCCAACAGTTGGTTTAAACTTACAGAAATATGAGAATCCAAATGCTTCATAAAAACAGCAGAAGGATGTCTACGGGGTTTCAGGCCTTTGTTTAATTTGGTTTTGGAATGTATTTCTATTCCTGTAGCATGCGTTGGCCTCCAAACATTTGGTTTTGTTTAGTAAGTACAAAGCTGTAAGATTTTCCCCCCACCAGAAGAACTGATCTTTCTCTGAGATCTTAGCAATTTGTGGAGGAACAAGACTCCTTGAAGATTCAGACTTCCATGGCCACATAGGTATGCAATCTGGTTTGTGCAAACTCACATTCCATAATTACCTCCTTTTTCTTGTTCTAATTACTGGGGGGCGGGATTACATAAACAGCCACTGAGCCCCTCTTAATTTTAGGAAAGGTGGGGGGAACTTGTTTGGTCCTCCTTGTGCATAATTAACATATATCCTTGCATTTTTGTGTGGTGTGCAGGAATGCGAGTGAGATATTTCTAACTGGCCTGTCTCCTTTATCTGCTATGAAAAAAACAAACATGATTTTGTTCAGTGGTTTTGCCATCACTTTCCCCCCATGCTATGACCAGCTTCTTTCCCTGCATGACAGGACTGGTCAATGAGGAGGCAGTGTGGCTGAATTCTGGCTTTCTGTTCTCTTATTCTAGCAATTGTCCAAGAGGCTGTTTGGCAACTCTATTCACTTAAATATCTCTTTGCAAAACTTCTGTAGCACACAGGAGTGCTGGGAAAGAGAACGAATGCCATCCTGGAAATGCCCCTGTGTCAGAGAACCAGCTCCAACCTTTCAGGTCATTTAAGAATTCCAAAGTCTCCTCAAAGACACTGCACAGTGAAACATATGGAGCTCAGCTCAGGGTCTATGCAAGAGGATGTTTCCTGCTTAGCGAATCCGTTCAGATTAACTACACAAGAGGAGATCCTTCTCAAGCCACACACCTGTTTCCCTAAGATCCTGTAATGAATGATAAGTGCTGGGCACCCATCTCAGGCGTGATCAGACAGCAGGCCATCATTGCTCCTCCTGAAACATGAGACATAAAAATGGGGGGGGGGTGTTTTTTAGTTATGCCCTCCCTTGGCCCTGAGGAACTCTGCTTGTTCAACTTCTATGTCCTTTGCACATAAAACGATACTGCACTTTATTGCAGGCTGCTGAAACTAACTGAGGAACTGACTTGAGTGTGAGGTTAGCTAGAAATCATTTGTTTGTTTTTTAAATCTTTGTGCTTCTTTTTATCCTACTTTTATTTAATTAAAAGCTGAAAATAGAAACCTGAAGTTGACAGTTTGCTCGCAGGACTAGGCTTAACCTTGTGTTAGGCTCCTCATATCTGCCTGGTTAGATGAAGGCAGTTTGCTAAGATCTGTCCCTTCTCCCAAGAAAATATTCCATGTTTGGGTTCCCACTTGCCCAGACTGAGGGTATCTAACTTTTAATATGGATGGTGGAAACTCTTGGTTGCTTAAGAAAACAAGGCCCAGACTGTCCTACCGCAAGATGGAAGCTCTTGTTTCTTTTGTTACAGCTCCCAATTTATTTTTCTCTCTGAGGAAGTAGCAGCATAATAGTATGCAAAGGCAGGCAGTGGTATTTCCCTGATTCAGCAAATCTCTTTTTTGCTTTTTCAAGAGACAACCCGCCTGTAGCTTGCCTGACTACTTGCTTGAAAAAACCCAGCACTCTCTTAGCAACCTCTCCCCCACACTACCTCCCCCCCCGGCAGCCTGCAAGTGTATGACTGTTCAAGAGCAAAAGCTGTGTTTTGGAACTATTCACGAATGCCAGCATAGCAACTCATTGGCTCCAGTGAGTAGAGACCTCTCCACGCTCAGCCCAAGTGCAGCAATTGCAACCAGTTGGGTAGGGGGGCAATGGAAAGAGGGGAGCAATAAAAGCAGAGAGGGACGGAGAAATGGCTTCTCTGTGAACTCTATGGCCAAGTATGGTGAGATAGCAGCTAGAAGCTCTGGGGGCTTATCCAGTCTTCTGAATAGTACTGACTCGTGGCCTCCCTGTTGAGGAATCTGCTCACAATACACCTTGGGGGTAGGAACGTCCCCCCCCCCCATTCTGGCTACTTTAAAAGTGACTAAGTCTCTACTAGGTCCCATGCAGGCTTCTGGTTGTAACCCAGGACTGCTGAATGAATTCATTCGTTGCTTCTCTATTTCTGAAAATACAAATCCTTAGGTAAACACACAAGTTCCTTGGTAGACAGAAAAAAGGGAAACAGGCTTATTTCAATACATGAGGATGTGTCTTGTTGTCTGGGCAGCCCAGGACTGCCCATGTTTGCACCCCGGGGAGATCACTTTGTGGTGCTAACGCAGCAAGAATAATGTGGGATGCAGCAGTTATGAATTCCCGGTTTCTGCAGCCACAGCAGGCGCTATGATTCTCCAGCAGTTTGACTTTGCCCCCGGAGGCATTTTCTCTCAAATCAGAGGGGTGCCAAGAACAACAACAACCAAGTCACAGCTTTTATTAAAGGAGCTCTGAGGCTGCACTAGGATTTTGAATATGTGCATTACAATTTGCCTTTACTCTTTATTACACTTTGCTGTTAGAACTGTCATAGAATCGTAGAGTTGGAAGGGACCACGAGAGTCATCTAGTCCAACCCCCTGCAGTGAAGAAATGTGAATCTCCATGCGACATTCGCAGGGAAACCAAAATGCTTGTATACAAAGCTATTGTACTACCAACCTTACTGTATGCTTGTGAAACATGGACCACTTACAAACACCATCTCCAACTCCTCAAATGATTTCATCAACGGTGTCTCCAAAAAATTTTACACCTCGCTTGGGAAGACAGGTGAACTAATATCAGTATACTGGAAGAAGCAAAGATCACCAGTGTCGAAGCAATGATTCTTCAACATTAACTTTGTTGGACTGGTCATGTTGTGCGGATGTCTGATTATCGTCTTCCAAAGCAAGTACTCTATTCCGAACTTAAAAATAGAAAGCGTAATGCTGGTGGTCAACAAAAGAGGTTTAAAGATTGTCTCAAGGCAAATTTAAAAAATGTAGTATAAACACCGGCAACTGGGAAACACTGGCCTGTGAGCGCTCCAGTTGGAGAACAGCCTTTACCAAAGGTGTCATGGGCTTTGAAGACACTCGAACTCAGGACACAAGGGAGAAACGTACTAAGAAGAAGGCATACTTGGCAAACCCACACTGTGATCAACTCTCACCCGGAAACCAATGTCCCCACTGTGGAAAGATGTGTGGATCTAGAATTGGCCTCCACAGTCACTTACGGACTCATTGTTAAAACTGTGTTTATGGAAGACAATCTTACTCAGCTACAAGGTATCGCCAAAGAAGAAGAAAGAAGAAGAGTGAAGAAATCTTTTTGCCCAATGTAGGGCAAGAACCCCCCACAACCCTGAGATTAGAGTCTCGTGCTCTACTGACTGAGCTATCCTGTAGGCTCTTACTCTCCTGTTTAAATTATATATCCTTTTACTACATGTAGGTGTGAATTTGATTTTGCTTTATTGATTGCAGAGACAATTTCCTTTTTCTGCTTGCTTGTTTTTTAACCCAAGGGAGATAGCAACAGTTGCTGGCTGCTGATCACAGTGCAATCCTATACACACCTGCCTGAATATAAGCATTGTATTACTGAGTTTGATGGGGAAACTGCCAGAGAAGGAACATGCCTAATGCAAGATGGAGACATGATTTCCTAATTTTGAGCTGGAAGGTAAAATTAGGCCAGGGAGTCATGTACCGTATTTTTCGCCCCATAGGGCGCGCTGCCCCATAAGATGCACCTAGGGTTTTTTTGGGGGGGGAATAAAGAAAAAAAAATATTTTCCCCCCAGGCACAGGGCTGGCACGGGGGAAGCCCAAGCTTCCCCAGACCCCAGACCCCAGAACAGCCTGCTATCCGCAAGCCTAGGGAGCCGGGCCGGTCTCCCAAGGCTTGCGGAGAGCTGCACGAAGTCCGGGCGCACTCTTCAGCGTGCCCCAGGCTTCGGAATGCAGGCAGCTCTGTGCAACCCTTGGGAGACCGGTGCGAAGTCGCGCCTGTCTCCCAAGGGTTGCACAGAGCTTCCTGAAGCCTGGAGAGCAAGAGGGGTCGGTGCACACCGACCCCTCTCACTCTCCAGGCTTCAGTGAAAGCCTGCATTTGCCCCATAGGATGCACACACATTTCCCCTTCATTTTTGGAGGGGAAAAAGTGCGTCCTATAGGGCGAAAAATACGGTATATATTTCAGTACTCCTTTTTGTATTTTTCTTTATTTTCTTTGACAAGATGAAATCATAGGCTTCTATGACATTTATAGGGACAAAGGTCTGGCAGCTATTTTGGAAACTTGGAAAGGCAGAGAATAAACTGAGCTGGGATGGACCTTTCAAAAGTATGAGCAAAATTTGCTAGATGTGAAAGATTGCATTAGACTGGCGAGATAACAAGGAAGTAAAACCATTAAATGATAAAATAGGGCAGTAAAACAATAAAATAAAACAAAAGAAGGACAATAAAACTATAAAATGGTGAGATCAGCTGCCTCACCCTGCCTCACAGATCGGTGGCCATCTTGAATCGAGAAAGATTGCTGCCAAACAATAATTTTAAAACATTTTTTTTCTTTACAGAAGGGAATTTTACTTCACGATAGATGTTTTTATCAATGTAAAACAGGCATAGGCAAACTCAGCCCTCCAGATGTTTTTGGCCTACAACTCCCATCATCCCTAGCTAACAGGACCAGTGGTCAGGGATGATGGGAGTTGTAGTCCCAAAACATCTGGAGGGCCGAGTTTGCCTATGCCTAATGTAAAACATTTAAGAACAACATTTGAGGCTCGACATTTAACATTATATATTTTGAACTTATGTTGGTTACTGTAGAAATCTGCAGAAGAAAGCTTTATAAGACTAAGTGTCAGCATGTTATATATAAATTGTTAACATGAGAACTGCAACTGTAACATCTCATTAATAATAACCTTCATTTTCCTTGAATTAACTAACCAATGCAATTTCCTTGAATTCTGAAAGGATCTAGTTAACAAAAGGAAAAACTGGAGCTATATTATGGATGTGCAAAAAAAAGAAAAGAAAAGAAAGTTTAGCAAACAAACAAGAACTGCAAGCTTGTTTTCTCCTGCTCTGGAGGGTGGGACCCGAACCAATGGATTCAAGTATGAAGAAAGTAAATTCTGACTAAACATCAGGAAGAACAGACTCCCTCTGAAGGTGGTGGACTCTCCTTCCTTGGAGATTTTAAAGCAGAGGTTGGATGTCCATCTGTCGTGGATTCTTAAGCTGTAATTCCTGCATTTCAGTGGGTTGGACTAGATGACCCTTGGCGTACCTTCCTGGCCCTGCTCAGAGTTCAGGGTCACATCCCAGCCAGGCCAAAGCCACTCAAAGGGGCTGTGTGCTCTGGGAAGAGTTCTGAAAGTCAGGTGGGGAGGGGCTGCATGTGGCCCCCTGGCCTGAGGTTCCCCGCTCCTGGGTTAGATCACCCAGACAAAACTAGTTGGACTTAAGCCCCAATTTGTTGTGAAAAGTTAGTCACGGCCAATTTATTCTTTCCCACTGATTTCTTCAGGACTCTGAACCAACCTGTGGCCTGTAACCTGGCTATGATGGGAAGTTGCGCAAGTCATGGGAAAGCAATTCTTATGCCACCAGTTTAAAGCTGCGAGGGAAGGATAAAACATAAGATCAAAGGATCCATCTCAACTCGGGTGAGGTTGGCAAAATCTGTCTGATGTCAAACTTCACCACTATTTCCGCTACCTCCAGATGATCACAAACTCTGTTCTGAAGTTGTGGAACGGAAGAGTTGGGGAAAGGGCATTGCAGCAAAGAGAGTGGACACGGAGACCAGGTTGCGTTCTGTTCTAGAAACAGATCGGCTCTGTGTAGGGAAACAGCCGTGTACCAAGTAGACCGGGGCGGGGCAGGGGGACAATTCCCAGTTCAAGTGCCAGTTTGTGTGTCTGTGTCTATGTTTTACATTTACAGGGTCACCTGGCAGAATGCACTTTTTCCTTCCATGGACGCAGAAAAAAGGGTTTGTGTAAGCAGGGGCTAATGGCATGTTGTGTAGCTGCAAAGTGATGAGATCCACTCAGCAGCAGCCTTTTGAATTAGAGGGTGAGCCACAGCATGTAGTAGAGAAGAAGAAAAAATACATGCTGCTTCCCAGACCATGAAAGAGTGTCCACAGCAGTTACAACCACTGAGAATAACTGCAGTGGCATATAGAGCAGAGTGTACCACTGGGCTAACTATCTGTCTGAAATGGGACTAGTGTTTAGAGAAACTGACAGTGGTTATTTCATTTTTTTTAAAAAAACAGAACAACCAGTGATGGGAATTAGGCCTCTGTAGAGCTTGCATCTGCCCATCTGGAAGCCTTGCTCTTAAATCCCACAATCCTAGTTGGGTTGTGACTAGTACTTAGTGTTTGTGGAAATGCACTCTGTATATGACCAGAGGACCTCTCTTCCTCATAAGTCCCAGAGCTAAGAGCTCACATTTTCTTTTCCGCTGGCTAATTATAGAGATATACTGGGAGCCTTAGTACGGCAGGTTGCCAAGGAATTGGATGGTTCTCTGTGAGCTGCAGAGCTCTTTCAATGGAAGGTTGCAATCCAAGCAGTCTGTGTGGCTCACCTTCAATGCAAGCCGTGTTATGGTTGGCCTTTTCTCTTTAATGAAGAAGCTGGAGCAGTTTCAGGCTTGCCACAGAAACAAAAGCCTTTAAGAAAACATATCTGGAGAGGGAGGCCAGAAACACTGAGAGGAAGCTGGGAAAAGAATGGAAGGCATTTCTTGTTGGACACAATGAGTCACCTAGGAAAAGCAGGAGAGTCCCCAAGGAGATGCCCAAGAGGCTCACCTGTCTGTCATGCAACTAAGGGCCAGCTGATATGAAAGCTGGAACCCCACGGGCCCTTTCACCACTGCAAAAAGTGTGTTCTTGGGAGACGGGGCTTTGCAACAGAAAAGGATGGGGGGGGAGAGGGGGGTCAACCCTTTCCCTGACAGTTACCGTATTTTTTGCTCTATAAGACGCACCTGACCACAAGACGCACCTAGTTTTTGGAGGAGGAAAACAAGAAAAAATATATTCTGAATCTCAGAAGCCAGAACAGCAAGAGGGATCGCTGCGCAGTGAAAGCAGCAATCCCTCTTGCTGTTCTGGCTTCTGGGATAGCTGCGCAGCCTGCATTCGCTCCATAAGACGCACACACATTTCCCCTTACTTTTTAGGAGGGAAAAAGTGAGTCTTATAGAGCAAAAAATACGGTTCTTTTCCCTCATGTCTGTGAGATAAACGCAAGTCTCAAGGAGCACTAGCATAAGCAGGGTTTAGCTGGAAGGAGCGCCCTGCTCTGTACAGTGGTACCTCGGGTTAAGTACTTAATTCGTTCCGGAGGTCCGTACTTAACCTGAAACTGCTCTTAACCTGAAGCACCACTTTAGCTAATGGGGCCTCCTGCTGCCGCCGCACCGCCAGAGCACGATTTCTGTTCTCATCCTGAAGCAAAGTTCTTAACCCGAGGTACTATTTCTGGGTTAGCGGAGTCTGTAACCTGAAGCGTATGTAACCCGAGGTACCACTGTACTATAATAAAAAGTCCGTGCGTCTGAGCATAGCAGGAATACCTTGCCTTGACCATTGTATAATCGCAACTACCTGGCCCTCCAGTGGGTTTTGGGGGGGCAGGCAGAGAGCGAAATGTCCAACATCCCTCCAAACCCCGACACATCTCCGTTTAGAAGTTAAGGACGGCTCCCCGCGCCCCGCCCGGAGCAGCAGCAGCTCCATTGCCTTCGACTTAATGGGAGAAGCGCGTGCCCGGGAAGGACCCGAGGAAGCCCCTCCGCGGAGCCATCTTCCTGCCTTGCGCAATAAAGGCGCTCTCCGCCGCTGGAATTGCTTGCAGGGCTGGCTGCCGGCGCCACGGATTTGCAGAAACCCCGGGACTTCCCAGCATCGCTGTGCGCGCGCGCGCGTGCCCGTGGGCGAGGGAGAGCTGGGTCATTGGGTCTGTTTTGCAACATTATTCAGTCGCCATTCAGGGGAACCAGTTTTCCTTACGATGCGGCAGGCGGGCATCCTACCTTGCTTGCGCGCACAGGCGCGCCGCCTCCCGGCCCGGGCAGCCGCTGCGCGTCGCCGCCTGCTTTGCTCGCTCCTTGCTCAGCCCATTACGGCGCGCAGAGCCCCCTGGTGGCGGAGAAGACGGCGGCATCCAGCCCGGAAAGAGGGGCTGGATTTGGGGAGAGCAGCAGGGGCGAAAGGACTTCCGCCACGTGCGCGTGCGCGCAGGGTTTGTGAATGGCCCCAAGCAGCGAGAAATGAAACATCTGCTCCGTGAGTCATTGGCAGCTGCAATTCTCCCAATTACAATGAAGGCAAAACAAGCCTTTCTTGTTTGGCAAGAAAGATGCTCAGTTATTCATTCCGAATATCCCAACCATTTGGTTTGATGTTCAGCTGCAATAGCTGAGATACAAACCTGTTATAATTAAGCCAAAACACTAGAAATATTTGGCTGTGCGATGCCCAGTGTTAACTGTTGTTTTTGCTTTTCTTTCTTGTTTGAATCTGTTCACAAACTGAGAAGATGCATATTGACCACTAACAATGAATCACATGCCTGAGATATCATTGTAAATTGGATTATGGCTTTCCTTATGTGTGAATGACATAAGACAGTTATGGTCTACTTATTTGTATTTACAAATCATCTCCAGGACGCAAGGGAGAAACGTGCTAAGAGGAAGCCACACTTGGCAAATCCACACCGTGATCAACTCCCACCCAGAAACCAATGTTCCCACTGTGGAAGGATGTGTGGGTCCAGAATTGGCCTCCACAGTCACTTACAGACTCACTGTTAAAACCGAGTTTATGGAAGACAATCTTGCTTGGCTACAAGAGATTGCCAAAGAAGAAGACGACGACTTATTTGCATTATTTGCTGCAACTGCATTCCTTTTACAGCTTCCAATAAAGAGTTATATATTAAAAACAGAACAAAACTATCCATTCTGAAGAAACGAGGGCTGCTGTGAAACAGGAGACATTGCCACTCTGGCTTCTGATATGGGCATTCTAGGGGCAAGGCCAAGGAAGAGTCAAGCACCAGAAATTATAAGAGGAAGCCGGGTTTATTGTGAACAAGGACACGGGTGGCGCTGTGGTCTAAACCAGCCTTTCTCAACCTTGGGTCCCCAGATGTTTTTGGCCTACAACTCCCATCATCCCTGACCACTGGTCCTGTAAGCTAGGGATCATGGGAGTTGTAGGCCAAAAAACATCTGGGGACCCAAGGTTGAGAACCACTGGTCTCAACCACTGAGCCTCTTGGGCTTGCCAATCAGAAGATCGGGGGTTCGAACCCCCATGATGGGGTGAGCTCCCAGAGCTCTGTCTCAGCTCCTGCCAACCTAGCAGTTCAAAAGCACGCCAGTGCAAGTAGATAAATAGGTATCTCTGCGGCGGGGAGGTAAACAGCGTTTCTGTGCACTCTGGCTTCTGTCACGGTGTCCCGTTGTGCCAGAAGTGGTTTAGTCCTGCTGGCCACATGACCTGGAAAGCTGTCTGTGGATAAACGCTGGCTTCCTTGGCCTGAAAGCGAGATGAGCGCCACACCCCATAGTCACCTTTGACTGGACTTAATCATCCAGGGTCCTTTACCTTCTTTTCTCTTTTTACCTTTGGTCTTCTTGGCAGCTAAAATGGAACTTTCATGGTTTTTATCAATGATGTAAATTGATTTTCTCACATATAACAAATATAGCAATCAACATGAAAACAAAGACAAATATTTAAAGGATAATTTTGAAGAGAAAATAACAAATACATTTCCACCCAAAACTCACTGATTATGAGGGGAGAGTGCTTTTGCTCTCAGGTCCTAACTTGCAGGTTTCCCACAGGTGGTTGTCTGGCTACTGCGGAAACAGGAGGCTGATGTCCTTTGGAAAATAGTTCACCATTGCTTTTTTGCTGCTACAACCCACTAAGCACTCCTCCTGCAAGGAACAGGTAAAATGAATAGAATTGCTCTTTTGGTTGAGAAATATCCAGATTTTTATGAATAAATTTATATAGTGGGCAGTTTGGCCACTGCAGTCTGGCAATAGTCACAGTGTGTTCCATAAAGGATGTTACACAAACTGTGGTTACCAACATGTGTACCTCTGTGGTCAGCATATTCTGGTTCAGGAACATTCACCGTTGGCAGAAGGCACTACAGTCATACCTCGGGTTACAGACACTTCAGGTTGTGTTTCTTCGGGTTGCGGACTGCCGAAACCCGGAAGTACTGAGTTACTTATGGGTTTCGGCGGTCGTGCATGCACAGAAGCGCCAAATCACAACATGTGCAAGCACAGACGTGCCGCTGCAGGTTGCAGACACTGCGGGTTGTGAACGTGCATCCTGCATGGATCACGTTTGCATCCATAGCTGTCAACTTTTCCTTTTTCTTGTGGGGAATCCTATTCGGAATAAGGGAATTTTCCTTTAAAAAAGGGAAACGTTGACAGCTATGTTTGCATCCAGAGCGTCCACCGTAGTGGGAAGGCTGGATCCATGAGTGGCCCAGGCTCATCAAGAGGGAGCGAGTTGAACTAGAACCTAACGCTTACAAAGCTTCCATCTTTCTAGTATTTAAGCTGATTTTAAAAAAATGTTCTTATTTCACCTTTCTCCTTTATTTTACAGGATACAGAGAGTAACACAAGAACAAAGCCCCTCGCCTCGCCTCCCTTCCCTTCTCAGACTACAAAGTTCAATCAATTACATCTCACCACAGCTGTCCAGCAGAGTTTGTCCATTGTTACTCAGGTACAAAGTAAAACTACACCAAATTTCAGTAAAGTCATCATCTACTTGATATAATAAACAACAACAATTTATTCTTTTTAGAAGAAGCAGTTACACTTAAAAGCTTTTGAAACCCTCCTTTTAAGGTATGATTAGATAAAATGCACTGCCTGTTGGAGTGAGCTAACTCTCCTTGCTCCCGACTTAGCTTCGGAGTACCTGTAAGGGGTTCCTGTCCTTCATACGCGTCATGTAAATGAACTAGACCTGTCTTTACCATCTTTGGAAATTTTGAGATATGCCCAGGTTAATAATAAATGGGGATATTTTAAATGAATCAGAGGGGGCATTGTGGGACAAAACAGTGCCCTGTGGCAATCCATAGCATAAATGTCATGCGCCCAAAGACCACTCTCCCAGTTCTACTCTCCAGACATATCCTGAACAGGTGGGAGCACAGTGTCGGCAATACCTATTGCACAGAGTCTGTCCAGAGAGACACCATGCTCAATGGCATCAAAAGACACTGCGATGTTGACCAGGATTGCCCTCCCACTGCCTTCTCATTAGGGTGACCAGGGCTGATTTGGTCCTGAAGCCCAGAACTGAAATGGATTCAGATAATCAGCCTCCTCCAGGAATGTCTGCAGTTGTTCTGACACAACCCTCTAAACCCTGCTTTCCCAAAAGTGGGTACAGTCATACTTTGGGTTACAGACGCTTCGGGCTGTGTGGTTTCGGGTTGCACACTGCGCCGAACCCGGAAGTACCGGAATGGGTTACTTCCGGGTTTTGGTTCTTGCGCATGTGCAGAAGCGTCAAATTGCGACCCGCACGTGCGCAGACATGGCGCTGTGGGTTGCGGACCCTGTGGGTTGTGAACATGCTTCCCACACAGATCACGTTCGCAACCCAGGCGTCCACTGTATTTGCATCCAGGTGATAGCTGTTATAATCTGTTAGGCCCTGGACCAGCTTTTCCCAGGAGTGGCTACACCACTGCCTCCTTTAGGGTTGCGGACGCCACCTCCTCATGCCATGAAATGCTCACCACACCCTGCTCCCACCCGGCCAACACTTCCCCAGGGGAGAAACAGCCCGCTTCACTGCCTGAGGCAAAATGGTAAGGCACCCCCCTCTACTTCTCCTCCGCTGAAGGCTTGCTTGCCTGGGTCACACAGCTACAGCTTCCAGGTTCCAGCGAAAACTCACAGAAAGCAGGAGTGAGAAGTGGTGACAAGATGGTGCATGAGTTCTGTGGGATGTGAAACACAAGAGCAGTCAAGTACAACATCCCTAGAGTGGACATAAAAGGAGATGTCTGGACCAGCCAGTTGGAACTTCCTGTTTCTCCTAGGCTGGGACAGACTTCCTCTGCATGTGACTAGAGGTGGGCGTGACCTCACCTGCCCAGGTAACAAATGAGCAGGACTGGTCAGCCATCTCTCTCTGACCACATTCGTTGAAGAAGCAGCATCTGCTTAGCCTAAGATGTTTGCAGCCAAGAGAGGACAAAGGAGCTGTCTCCTTATGGGATAGTTTCCAGGTGTATATTACTTTTCTAATTTAAGTCAGCCTTCTGGGATCTAATTGTGAACAGAATGTGAGTGAGTAAACTCTTTTTTATACTTTTATAGAAGACTGTGTCGTGTCTATCTTTTTAAAGGTAAAGGTACCCCTGCCCGTACGGGCCAGTCTTGCCAGACTCTAGGGTTGTGCGCTCATCTCACTCTATAGGCCGGGAGCCAGCGCTGTCCGCAGACACTTCCGGGTCACGTGGCCAGCGTGACAAGCTGCATCTGGCGAGCCAGCGCAGCACACGGAACGCCGTTTACCTTCCCGCTGGTAAGCGGTCCCTATTTATCTACTTGCACCCGGGGGTGCTTTCGAACTGCTAGGTTGGCAGGCGCTGGGACCGAACGACGGGAGCGCACCCCGTCGCGGGGATTCGAACCGCCGACCATGCGATCGGCAAGTCCTAGGCGCTGAGGTTTTACCCACAGCGCCACCCGCGTCCCTATCTTTTTATGAGGGACTAAATGGGGAATTACCAACGAAACGTATTTTAGCGAGCCTGAGCAAACGCATCCGCTGTGCAAGTTTAGAAAGGGGAATGTTACTCTGCTAAACTGTAGAACTTGTTAACACAAGTTGGAAAGGATATAATCAAACAATATATCCTCTCCTGCATCCCTGAACATTCCCATAAGTTCTGCAAGCCCTCACTAAAGGCCACCGCTACTTCTCTGACAGTGGCAGGGGGCAGGTGCACACGGGGTCCCACAGCCCAAGTCAGCTGCCTCTGGCCCCACAGCCTCCCAGGCTGGAGATCATTAGGCATCATGGGTCACAGAGGTGGATTTACGCAAGTGCAACCAGTTCGGTCATACTGGGTGTAATGCCTCGGGGTAGCGGAAACTGTTATTTGGAATGGAGCATGAGAGGAGGGGGGAGGTGGCAATTTGGCTTTGCACAAGGCCCCACTGAGATTTGAGAACCCAAGGTCTACCATGGGGGGGGCGGAATCCAGACTGTGCCGTTGCACCCATGCGATGGGGTGAAGCAGTCACCTTGGGCAGTAGGCACCAGCAAGGTGCCCCCCTTGCAGCAGTCCTGCCCACCCAACTGCCTCCACCACCGGCAGAGGAGCCAGGCGAAGTCAGTGCCTGAAATCCCTGCAGAATGTGTCCTTTAGTAGGCTCAGCTGGGGAATGGAAGGAGACAGAGAACCAGGAATTCTCTTGTTTCTGCAGGATTGGGCAGCATGGGGAGGGAGATATTGGAGGGGAAACATAAGGGAGGGGTGTGTGTGTGTGTGTGTGTGTGTGTGTGTGAGAGAGAGAGAGAGAGAGAGAGAGAGAGAGAGAAAATGCATGTATAACATTGGTCATTTTCTCCAGCTCCTGTGTTGGCCCCCTCCACCTCTGCCAAGAGGAATAAGCCATTCTGCTTTCTGCTGGTTCTCTTCCATTCATTAAAGGACCCTTTTGTTCTGGAGTCCATTTTTTATTTATCTGAAAACAGCCGGTCTCCATGCAGAACTTTGCTTGTTCTGTGGGGAAAGTGGGTCACGCTGTGCCTATGACTCTTGGGTGCCCCCTGCTGGTGCCTTTCCACATATGCGCAGAGAAGTCCCAGACCCATTGTGCTCTTGGTGAGGATGTCTGCTCCTGTCAGCCTCCTCACTCTCCCTCCATCTTTTATAATCCTGCAGCGAGCAGAGGCTTCTGTTGCTTGTGGAGGGCAAGAAGAGATGAATAATTCAGAGACAATTCTCCAGCAGCAGCCAGGAAAGGGGGCTGCCTGCCATTCCCCACTAGGTTTCCACAATGAGATTCGCTCTCCTTCCCCCTCAATTCCGGCATCTGATACACAGAGCAGGTCACAGGCCTGGCTTGTGTAAAGGAACCAAAAACATCCCGCCGGAAAAGAAGAGCTGGCTCTTGGCTGCAGGCCTCCCTGTTGCTCCCGGCAAGTTTCCCCCAGAGGCCAAGCCATTTCCTCTGGATGCACCTGGGTTTGCTCTTGCTGACAGGAGACAAAATCTATTTTAAAATCCTGAGGAAGTCACGCTGGGAAGGAAGATGCCTGCAATTTCCTGGTCCCTTATATTTGTGTCAGAATTGAGGCCGTGGAAAACAGGCCTTGATCCTGACTGTGAGCTGGACCAAGAGAGCCACAGGCCCGGCAACCCAATTTTCAGGTTTTAGAAATAGCAAGAGGGGGAAAATATCACCCCCTTCTACACACACACACACACACACACACACACACGTACGTAATTATCTACTAATGAGGGAAGTGCTGTGAGACAGTCCAGTACATATATATTTATAACATAGCAACAGTTTCACATGAACGAGAGATGTGAAACTAGGACAGATATTAATTAATTATGGAGAAACAGAGAGCTGGCTTTGGCTCACTTAGTTCTGTTCCTCGGCTCCTGTTGGGATTAGCTGTAGAGATTCTTGCTGTGCTGCTTGATTTACAGTGTTGTTTTTAAACAGTCATTTAGAAGAAACAGGACGTCCGCTCATCTCTCTCCATAACTGCCCAGTCCTCAAGAGTACACTGTACCAGCACACAAAGCCCACTGAAACGAGAGGCATTTGAGCCTCTTGGGATCACTTATTCAAGCAGTACATGAGATTTCATCCAGCTCCCCATTACTTTCA